CCCCCGGGCCGAACGAGCGGGGCTGGATCGCCGCAGGCGCTCCGGGGTTGGAGCTGAGTCCGGCGCTGCCGCTCCTGTTCCGGCCGCTCCCGCTGTGGGACCACAGTCCGCCGGGGCTCAGTCCTGCTCCAGCTGCTCATCCGACACCTGTTGGGTGAGACTTGACACTATTCCTGCTCTCCCCTACTTTCTATGTGCCTTGCACTCTCCAATGGAAAAAGCTGTGAGTTTAAAAAGCCAGTGAAAACTGTTTGCTCTTTATTTCCAGAGGACAGGAGGTTCTGAGTTGGAAACAGCCATGAGGATCATCAAGTCAAGCCAGGGGCTGCTCTGAACAGGCACCTGGAGATGCTTCAGCCCAGACAGACCCCACCCACACCCCAAAAATACCCCAAGGAACAGCTGGCATTACCTGGGAATGTTGGCACCGTGCATTTGCGGAGAGGCTTAGGCAGCAATTCCCAGTGCTGACCTCCTGGAGCTCCCACACACCCCCAGGTATGTCCCACCCACTCCAAATCTTTTCCCTTCCAGCCTGGGGACATCATCTATCAGCAACATTAAAGCCAAGAGAATCTTCCCCCATACAGAAATTAAACCCTTAGCAATAGTCCTCAGAAATGACTTAAAATAAAACGTTAGCATGGGATGAGGTTTTGTTTGGATTAAATTTGGAGTTTTTCAGGAAGCCAGCTGGACCTACAGAACTGATGGAGAGCTTTCATGGGGGGATCCCACTGGAGGTGTGCTGAAAGCAGGGATGTTCATCCCTGTCCTCAGGGTAAAGAACTTCCAGAGGCCACTCCAGAGGTTCTAAAATGAACTCAGCTTCTTCAGGGGGAGATGACCTCCCCTGGGCCCAGGAGCTGCCTCAGCACGGGCCAAGAGTGTGTGCGGCCACTGCTGTCTCCTGCTTTAAAATATCAACTGACCTCAGGGGGATGAAATTGGCTGAATTCCAGGGAACTCTGTCCAGTGTCCCCCAAGGACATTGGTGGGGCTGGGGAATGAAGGGTATAAATAGCAAATTCTATGGATTATAAACCTGTTTTTGTCCTGATCCCACTGAGCTTCCCTGGAACCGCTGCTGGTTCCTGACACAGCTGGTGTTAAAGTGGCAGCTCTGCATGGGAATATCCACATTCCATGAGGACTGTCAGGTTATTCCAGCAGGAATTTGGGGCTATGGGTATCATTCATCTGAACTATGGGTGTAAGACCTTAAACTGCACATTGTCCTGGGGGACTGTGACTGGGAATCCAGCAGGGAATTCATTGTTTTACAAGTATAAACTATTCCAGGGAGCAGCACTGACAAGGTTGGGAGCTGCTGCTTCACCACACAGTGTCAGCAAAAGAGAGAAAACACAAAATGTGCATCCAAAAACAAAGATAAAATGGTTCCTCCAGCTTTTGGTGGGACCAGGGTTTATTCTGCCGTGAAATGACAAAGAACTGCATCAGACCTCCAGAGACCCCTTGAGAAGCCAAAGTGAGGAAGGAAACAAACACAAACAAATAAACCTCTGCCTCTCCTGGGGACAGCACAGGTCCAGCTGTTCCTGGGGACTAGGAATGTGTCTGGAGCTAAAAGCAGCTTACCAGGCTGGAGGTGCTTTCCTAAAGCACCACCTCTGGGAAGCAAACTGTAGAAGTAAGGCCCGGTGCTCCGAAGATAACGGAATGTAACGGAAAGATAGTAACCCCCCCCCTCTTCGTTAGTATGGTAATGCCTCCTGCAATTAGCCAATAGCACCTAGCTGTGATGAAAGCAGATGGGAGTAACACAGTGACCCTAGGTTATAAAATGTCAAATTCTCCAGCAATAAATGTCAAATTCTCCAGCAATAAACGCCATTCCGCCATCCATCACATTGGTGTCTGTGGGCAATGGACCGAGTGGCCGGGGGGAACAAGGAACAGCAAGGAACACCATGCTGTTCCTTGAACCAGGGTGTTTGCCTTGCTTAAAAGACAACATTTGGTGCTGAAAACCCAGGAAGAAGCAGGATTCAAACCTAGAAAGCGAGGATTACCTGGAAAACGAGAGCGGCGGTCAGGACTGGCTGGACTAACCCTGGTGAGGGAGACATCTCTACGAAGATGGAATCATTGATAAAGGTTGTATCTGAATTACATAAACAGTGGGGGGTAGATTGCAAATCTAAGGATTTTACGCTTGCTATCACAAGGCTTTTGCATATTTGGGTTATAGAGCAACCAGTGGACATTCTCCACCCTGAGGTGTTGGAGAAATGTACCAGAGCTCTCGCTAATGAAACTATAGATTCAGGTAGTATGAAACATTTTAAGTCATGGGGTAAGGTTGTCAAAGCTTTGAAAAAAGCTAGACAAAAGCAAGAGACCTGGACAGTGGCAAAAAACTGTCTGTTGGCCACCCCGAAACTGGGAGTCAGTGCCACTACACAAACTTCAGAGCCCCCAGATGAGAGCAGCTCAGCTGAGTCGAAGGGGACACAAGAGGGCGATGAGTCCCCTCAATCCCCAAACCCTGATCTGCTCTCAAACAAACAGCAGACAGCAAGAGATTTTTGGAGAAAGTTAACAGAAGAAGCCAGAGGTGTTGCAGACAAAGTCAGGGGGGAAGTATCCCCCCAGGGGCTTAAAAATGGTGCTGAGCAAAAAGACATACAGCGGGAAAGGAATGTCCTTAGGGAAAACAGAGAACAAGTGCTGGCATTGAGAGATGAGAACAGTCGGGAGGTTGGGAGAGATAAGGAATGTGAAGAAGGATGAGGGGGAGGTGTAAAGAGGGAGAGGGAAAAGAATGTAGAGAATAGGGGGAGCAGAGGGAGGAACAGAGCATGGAGTGAAGGGTAGAGCGAAAGGTGGGGTGAAAGGCGGAGTGGAGGGTGGACTGAAGGGCAGGGAGAGCCAGGAGGGAGGGAACAGCCTGCCCACAGGGGTGGTAGGCGGGGCCGGAGCCCAACAAAAAGGCATGGGAAACAGGAAGTAGCTAGCCAGTAGAGCTCTGACTGCGATCTGGCCGAGTCCTCAGAAGAGGAAACAATAAAGATAAACAAGAATATACCCCTCCACATCAAAAAAGAACTGAGAGAGGATACCCCTCTCACAGACTGGGGTCAGATAAGAGCAGAATGTGCCACCTGGGTCTCCCCAGATGCTCTAGTATTCCCAGTCCGTGTGTCTGAGCGGGGACAGAGAGTTTACTCACCAATAAATCCTAAAGAAGTTAAAACGATTGTTAAAGCAATTTCAGAAAAAGGGCTTAATTCTGCCATGGTCAGATGGTCTTTTTGGAGGTGACAACCTGCTCACTTTTGATATAAAACACACTTGCAGATTGTTTTTTGATGGGGCAGGGATGATTGTTTTTAAAACAAGAATGGGAAGACAGCTGTGCCAGATACGTAGCCCAGATAACTGGGGCAGACCATCTGCTACACGGCTCCAGCCTGCCGCGGTTAATGGGCACAGATCCAGCCATGGTTACACCTCAGGCACAAGGCCAGGGTATGCGGGCCCACAAAGTTATGACAACCACTCGTCGGCCAGAGAAGCTATTCGCTCGGCCTCTAGAGTTGTTGCTAAGCCATCACCATGGGCTACCATAAAGCAAAACAAAAGTGAGAGCTTTACACAATTTGTAGACTGCCTTCAGGCAGCTGTTGACTCCTCAGCCCTGCCCCCAGAGGCAAAAGGCCCAGTCATGGCAGACTGCTTGCGTCAACAATGCAATTCGATAACCAAGGAAATCCTCCAGTCATTACCGGCAGGGACAAATATCGCAGAGATGATTAAGCATGTTGCGAGGGAAGAACAGGTAGCTCTGATTCAAACTGCAGTCTGCACAGCAATCGCTAACGTGATGGCATGTTTCAAATGCGGTCAGGCAGGTCCACGTTCCTGCAAATTGTAAAGGTGGGGGGGCCATAGCAGAGCCCACCTCACAGCAGAACCAATTTAAAGGGCCATGCTGGGCTTGTGGGAAAAAGGGGCACCTTGCCAGAGAATGCAGATCCAAGGCTCAGGGAAACGGGAGGGGGAGGGGACAGCAGGGCTGCACACAGTCCTCTCCCACTTGGGATACGAGGCGGCCCAGTTATGCCAATCCTGCAAGGACCGAGGTGCTCCCAAATCCATTACCCTCCCGAGAGGCGACCACTTTCATGACTCAGCTGGTTACTCAGCCAACCCTGCCTTACTTGCCTCAGGGGCAGCAGGGATCACACTCGGGGGACATGACCCCAGGGTGGCCCTGGCAGTAAGGTGTGACAACCACCGTGGTGGTATGCGGGATCTGCACCCTTTATGACACCTCAGGTGATCAAAGTATCCCCTCTGGATCTATCAGTGTTCCTTTTCTAATTGATACTGGGGCAGATGTCATAGTCATTCCAGAGACAGATTAGCCTCTGCTCTGGAAACTAGAGGATGCCCCCATGGTAGGCGGGGTTGGGGGGCTGTCACGGGCTCGGAGAAGCGCACAGCTAATAGCCATTACACTCCACACAGAAAAAGGGCCAGAAAAAACTATTGCCCTCTTCCTGTATGTCATGACAGGAATCCCAGCCCTGCTAGGGAGGGATGCCCTAGCCTTGCTAAAAGCCAGGGTGACAAATTTACCCTAAGGGCCGCTGCCACCAATCAGGCTTTCTTGGAAATCATCCGACCCGGTGTGGATCGAGCAGTGGCCCCTGTCCAAGCCTCGATTAGATGCCCTTCTTGAGTTAGTTAACTGTGAATTATAACAAGGTCACATAGAGCCATCTACTAGCCTGTGGAATACCCCTGTTTTCGTAATCCCTAAACGATCTAGAGAAGGGTTTCACCTCCTCCACGATTTACGTGAAGTAAATAAGAAAATTCAACCCATGGGACCTGCTCGAACATTGTTACCTATGAACTCTATGGTGCTGGAAGGCCAACCCTGTGCTGTTCTTGATATCAAAGACTGTTTCTTTTCTATACCCTTACATGAAGAAGACAGAGAGCGGTTTGCTTTCTCCGTGGTGTTTCCAAACAGTGCCCCAACCTACGCTTCCAGTGGAAAGTGCTGCCTCAGGGGATGGTCAACTCGCCTACAATCTGCCAAATCACAGTCGATCAAGCGCTAGCACTGATCCGTCATAGCAACTTGACTGCGACCATCATCCAGTGCATGGACGACATCCTGATAGCTGCACCCTCGGGAGGTCAGGTAGACCAGTTAGTGTCAACAATCACAGAGACTCTAAAAACAAATGGCTTTGAACTCGCGAGTGCAAAAATAAAAAAGGGGCCATGTGTAACCTTTTTGGGGGTGGGGATCACAGACTCTTGCATATCCCTTCCCCAGATAAAGATCCGTCGAGACATCAAAATGCTCCATGACGTGCAGCAGCTGGTGGGATCCCTGCAATGGCTCCGCAACATCGTCTTAATCCCACCCGGGAAGATGGCCCCCCTGTATGATCTCCTGAAAGGGAAATATCCATGGGAACACAAAGCCCTGACAACAGAAGCAATGGACTCTCTTGAGTATTCTGCAAAGCCCCCTTGGACTCAAGATGCTGGCTGTTGTCGACATGGACCTACCACAAAAGGTCATGGACCAGGCCCAGCCAGGACCAACAGTCTTCACAGAAGCATCCTCGACAACCTCCACCGCGGCTGCAGTGTGGCAATCAGAGGATGAGTGGCACTGCGTCAAAGCGACTGATCGTACACTCAGTCCAGCAACTGGAAGTAGCAGCTGTGGTACTGGCATGTGGACTGTTCCAAACAGAGCATCTTAACATTGTAACTGATTCAATGTTTGTAGCCAAGCTTTGCCTGGCTATGTCAGGACCCGGCATATCGACATCTACAGCAGCTCTAATGCTAGAAGAAGTGCTTTCCTCTCGAAAAGGTACCATATCAGTCATCCGTGTTAACAGCCACAACCTGATCAAAGGGTTCTTCCAAGTCGGCAACGACAAAGCAGATGCTGCCGCAAAAGGATTGTGGACTTTACAAGAAGCTCATCAGCTACACGAAACCCTGCACATCGGAGCCAAAGCACTAGCAAAGAGATGTGAAATCTCAGTTGCTGATGCAAAATATGTAGTAGCTTCATGCCCCCACTGCCAAAAGGCATCACTGTGGTCCTGTGGAATCAACCCCAGAGGCCTAAAAGCCTCAGAGATATGGCAAACAGACTTTACATTGTGCCAGCTGTTAAAACCCCGAGCATGGCTTGCAGTAACAGTAGATAGGTACAGCGGAATAATTGTAGCCACGCAGCACCTGGAAACCAACTCCAAAGCAACTATCCAGCATTGGCTAACAGCCATGGCTTGGCTCGGCATCCCTAAGCAAATCAAAATGGACAATGGTGCAAATTTTTTCTCAAAGCCGAGCCAGGAATTCGCCTCCAAATGGGGTATCACTCTGGTGCAAGGCATCCCGTACAATAGCACAGGACAAGCCATTGTTGAGTGAGCAAACCAGACCTTGAAAGCCGAGCTAGAAGTGTTAGCAAAATCAAAATGCTTTAACAATTCCATTCCCCAGGCAGACCAGGCGCGCTTGCTAGCAACTGCACTGTTAGCACTGAACCAGTTCCCTAGGGGAGATGAAACTAACAGTCCCTCCCAAAAACACTGGGCAACTCGAGCTCTAGAAGAGGGCCTGCAGGTCATAATCAGAAATGAGTTAGGAGAGTGGGAGCAAGGTTGAAGATTAGTACTCACAGGGCGAGGGTATGCTGCAGTTAAAAGAGATGGTAAAGTGGTGTCCACTTAAGTCAATAAAACCAGACCTTCAAAATGAAACTGGCAAGAACTCTGAAGTTTTGTTTGCAGGACTGGATCATTGGGCGCCCGTGTGATGCGTATGCTCCAGTGCCAGAAAGACGCGATGAACCACCAGACAACCTGAAGACGCCCAAAACTCCTGAGCCTGTGAAACCCAAGCGACAACAACTTATGTGTGTAATCTTTTAGGACTTGTTAGCAGTGAGCAGGTTAGTGCAGAACATAACCCCCATCAACCATTCAGGTGGATCTTATGCCGTGGCTTGAACGAGATGATTAAAGAGGTAGTCACAGCAGGCACCCCAAAGTTCTTTGTGCTCATTCGAGACATTTTCCCTGGTATAGTAACTCATAACATCCACCCTCGCTTTGAGCTGTACCAGTCATACTGGTGTCCAGCTACCAACCCAGGCAAAGACTACTGCCGCCAGCTAGGGTATTGGTTTTGTGGCTATTGGGGGTGCGAAACAATAGTCCTGAGCAACCAGTGGGCACCACCAAAAGCAGATGAGTTTCTGCAAGTAACCTGGGGTCCAGCAGGCTGTATACATCCCAGTTTCAACTCCATAGGGCAAGTGTTTTATGGCTTTTATGATGACCAATCTAAAGTCTGTCATCAAATGATCATACAGGTCCTGCAGCCAGCAGATGTGGGTTGAACCACCGGAAGAATGTGGTCAGTAGTCTTGCACAAGCCTGGCAAAGATCCCGGTGAAGTAGTACAAATTATCCGACTCCCAGTCATGACACCTGAAGCAATTGGCCCCAACCTTGTGGTACAGGCTGAGAACCCACGATCTAATAGTCTATACCCGCTGCATAAGCGAGAAGCTTTTCCCCAAAGATCTGAAGTCACTGCTTTTGATTCGCTCTATCAAATGTCAGAGGCCACCTTTTTACCTCTAAATCAATCTAACCCCAATGCCACAGAATCCTGCTGGCTGTGTTATGACACACAGCCCCCTTACTATGAGGCTGTGGCCCTTAACAACCGGCTGATGTGGTCTAGTGCTGAGGCCCCAGTCCAGTTGCAGTGAGTCACCTTCTCGCAGAATCACCATCAGCCACATGACCGGGCGAGGGTTTTGCATAGGCAAAGCCACTGTTATTGACAAAAAAGTCTGTGCGACCACTGTGCAGGTGGACAAGTCTAAGAAATGGGCAATCGCCCCCTTGTCTGGCATGTGGGTTTGCAACTGCAGTGGGCTAAGCCCTTGCATCTATACCCAAAGCTTTAACTCCTCTGCTGACTATTGTGTATTAGCTGTTATCATCCCCAGGGTCCTATACCACTCCAGAGAAGAAGTGAACCAGTACCTGGAGCAAGCAGGCCACCTTCAGAAAAGAGAGCTGCTGACAGGAATGTCGGTAGCAATGCTGCTCGGCTTGGGAGCGACCGGTACGGCCACTGGTGTCTTCGCCCTGGTAACCCAGAGTCAGAGTAACTTCATCTCAGTTACAGATGACTGTAGATGAAGATCTACAGAGAATTGAGAAATCCATATCCTTTCTAGAAAAGTCAGTCTCCTCACTCTCTGAAGTTGTTTTGCAGAACAGGTGTCCTGGGTTGATTATGATGTTAAATTGTATCCCCATTCTTCCACCTAACCCAGACACAGGTTCTGTATTCTTAAAAGTCCATCTGAGAGTAAAAGTGAATGGAAAAGAAGCACCAAGTCTGTTATCAGACTGTACTTGCTCCCCCTGCATCGGGAGTTTTGACTACAGCACAGACAGACAACAAGACACAGATCGCCTTGGCTTTCCAGCTAGCCGGAGCAGAGAGGTCTTCCTGGACTGTTTTCTTTCCCTTTTTTTGAAACGAATCGAACCTGCTCTGGACTGGGGACTCGGGGGAGCACCGGGAGCTTGCACCCGTGGACTGCCGGGAGCCCAGCCTGGGCAGCGGCATTTTCCAGCGCCAGAGGGACTGATAACAGAGCAAACACCCCCAGGAAAGAGACCCTCTGAAGTTTGTCATCTCTTCTGAAGGGCGAGAGGTTTTGTAATTTGATATCATTCATTTTTGTGCTGGGTAGTGTTGTGCCTGTGAAATAAACAGGTTTTTTCCACTTCTCTCAGAGAAATCTCTTCCTGAACCGGTTGGGGGGTGGGGGGAAAGGGCCACGTGGGTTTGCTTCCCGGGGGGAGCCCCACTGGAGGTTTTCTCCCAAATTTGCCCTAAACCAGGACAACAGGCAAGGTCTCGACCTTCTATTCATGAAGCAAAGAGGCCTCTGCATCGCCCTGAAAGAGGAGTGCTGCTTCTATGCAGACCACACCGGAGTAGTGAGAGACACCATGGCAGAGCTATGAGACAGGCTATCTCAACGGAAGGCGGAGAGAGAAGCCAGCAAAGCTGGTTCCAGTCTTGGTTTGACCAATCTCCATGGCTGACCACCCTGGTGTCTACCCTGATTGGGCCAGTTGTGATGATTTTGCTTGTGTTAATCTTTGGACCATGTATTTTAAATAAGCTTGTGTCCTTTGTTAAGAGCCAACTAGAAAAAGTCAACATTCTGTTTATAGAAAGGCAACATATGCTCTAAAAATACACTTGGTCACCGCATGTGCCTTATGCTTACTAACGAAAAACTGCAGTATCTATTTTATAAGTTTTTAGCCTTTTAGTTAAGTATAGTGTACCCTATATTTTACTCAAGTTTATAATATCTACTTTTAAAACTTTTTATAATATAGATAAGTTAGACAAAATGTTTAGAGATAGATATATAGAAAATAACGTTAGAACTTTTTAAGACTAATACACCTTATATTCTAGCAAATTAATTATGCATAGAGAGGGGGGAATATGTAGAAGTAAGGCTTGGCGCTCAGAAGATATCAGAATGTAACGGAAAGATAGTAACCCCCCCCTCTTTGTTAGTATGGTAATGCCTCCTGCAATTAGCCAATAGCACCTAGCTGTGATGAAAGCAGATGGGAGTAACACAGTGACCCTAGGTTATAAAATGTCAAATTCTCCAGCAATAAACGCCATTCCGCGAGTGGCCAAGGGGGGTCACCGTGCTGTTCCTTGAACCAGAGTGTTTGCCTTGCTTAAAAGACAACAGCAAAGGGCAATGGAAGAAATGGAGTGGTAATTTACAATAATAATAATAATAATAATGGTATCAGGAAAGAGCAACAATGGGAGCAACAATAATTCCAAGGGCTCAGGGAGGGATGCTGAGATTTAAATAGTGTTTGAGTGAGGCAGCATGTCCTGGGAGTTGTAAAGCACAGCTCCAGGTCTGGGATTACAGGAGCAGTGCAAACTCCTACTGTCCAATCCCTGGATTTGCCTCCTGCCAGCACTCTGCACCTTGGGCATGTTGGGGTGCACGTGCTCCAGTGCTGCTGCCTTGAGGGACTGGGAAAATGGGTGTTAAACCCCTTCCCACAAGGCTGGCTCTGAGCTCTGGCTGGGGAAAACATTTGGCAACCCTGGCATTTCAATGAAATCAGTTTCCAGCGTTTTGGAGATACACTGAGTAAACCCAAGGCACACAAATAAACGTTTATTTGTTTATATTGTTGTATTCCGTAGGGACAGCCCTATGGAATACAAAATTATTCCTATGCCTGCAGCGAGTATTCCTCGCCAGCAGTGAGTTTCTGGGGAAAGACTCCAGACTCCTGTCTCCTTCCCTGGCTGTAAAACACTTGCAGAGGCTTTGGAGTTCATACAGGCTTGTCAGGATTTGGATACTTCATTTAAATTCCATTCATGGTAAGGAATTGGAAGTGTCCTAAGGGCACCTCCACTCATACTTGAATTTTAACTCAGTTGAATTTTAAGCCTTCTACCACAGATGAATTTGGATGTCCTTTTGTTAGGAACATCCCACCTCTGCTTCTTTAAGTGCCTCCATATGGGAGATAAAACAAATGGGGACAAAAGTTTTGTACGCAGCTTCCAAGTCAAGTTACCTGCTAGGAAATGACTCCAGCTCTCTGGTACCTCAGGTTGTTTAACCACAGCCTGGCCCTCTAGGACTGTAGACTCTGAGCTACACAACTTGGGAGCTGGCAAGTAACAGCAGCTGAGGCCTCATCCCAGCTGTACAAAAAAATAGGGATTGGGCTGCATTTGGATACATGCAGGCAGGTTTGGGCCACTTCAGAAAGCTTCAACCCTTGTTTTTCAGAGATTCCATCAGGGATAATGCCTTTTCACAAATCTCTTCTAAGGTACATTAGAACCTGAGTAGGAAAATGGACTCAATCCCTTTGATCCATTGGCCTCACACCCCAAATTCCAATGGGACAGACAAGCCCTCTCCTTGGAAGGCAATGTCTCCTACCTGGCCCTGTGCCTTCCCTAGCCATTGGTGGCTGTTGTCTCCATCCTCCCATATCTCCTCATCTTCCTCCTTGGCAAGGTTGGCTTCCTCATCCTGCAGAGCAAACACAGACATCAGCCTGCTCATCCCAAACGTGGGCAGCAGGGGTGGACTGGTGGGACTCTAGATGGTCGCTGCTCTGCTGGGCACCATCCCTGTTCCAGGGTCCGTTCCCATCACACAGGTAATATCTGCTTCCAAATGGATTGTTGGAACAATCAGGTAGATTTAGTCGTGCTCGATCCGTAACACTAGAATTTATTACAATGAGTTATTCTTGCACAGAATACTTGGTTGCAGGGATATATTCCCATTTTTCTTGCCCAGGTTCCCAGATTAAGACAGTAATGTCTTTCCCTGGAGCTATGACTTCAGCTTGTCCAGGAAGGCAATTTGGCCTTTGGCTCCATTATTAAGACTGGTGGATCCAAACTCTTTATCTCCACCAACAGGAGTGACTTGAGGTGGACCTCCTCTTTTCACAATTGTTTTTAAAACTATCAATATAAATAACTGTGCTACCCTGCCATGGGTTGAATAATCACATCTTATTCACTACTGTTCTATGTGGAAAAGTGTGAAAGGACTGTAAACTAGTCTTTGACACAGCATAAATAATGCACTCAGAGAAGGGTGTTTGTTGCTGAGGAGGGTCTTCTACCCATGAATGTTTAGAAAGTGAATTTTCTGTAAGTACTATACCTACTAGTAAGGAGGTATAGTACTTACAAGATACATATATCTATAGTACTTACTATATATTTTAAGGATGCGCTGACATCTCTCTATGGCACTGGGCTCTCATCTTGCCTCCTGTGGTGGTTAGAGACCACAGTTAAGAAGCTCCTCCTCTGCTCCTGAGTATGCCATCAGGGTTTTTTTTTGTTTCTTCTCCTTGGGGAATTTCATGGAGATGGTATGTGTCAAAGCAGATTTGGACGATGTGATTCAGTTTTTAAATCTGAAAAGTGCTTTCCCCTTTTCCCCTGAGCCTGTTCCCAACTAGCTGTAATGTAGTATATCCTACAGGGAAAGTAGGTGGGGAGATACACAGGGCAGAGTCAATTCAAGGGTTTGCAGCAAGTCATCAAAGATGATTTAAAAGTTGGAAATGACAAGTAAAGAAGGAAATTGTCTGAGCCACTGTTCAGCTCCAGTGCTTTCCTTAGAAAAGGATGTACTGGAATAAAAAAAAACAATCCTGGCCTACATGGTACCTACCCACAGGGAGGTCATAATTCTGTTCCTGGCCGAAGGAGACCTGCTGGCAGCTAAGTGGTTCAATACTTGGTTGTGTTGCAGCAACATGGAAGGGCTGGACTGGAGGCCTTCTCTCCTTGCCAGTTCTGTGAGCAGAAGCATTGCTGTCTTCAAGTGGTTTTTACCCAGAAGCTGTGTGTAAGAGGAGAGAGGAAGAAATTTGTCACGGATCAACCATAATAAAGATCTTTCTAGTGTTGCCCTCCTTTATCAACAGCAAAATCAAAACACTGACCTTTTCTGAATGATTTTTGCCTGACTCAATGCCCACCTGATCATTTACAAGACACTGGTAGTTACAGTATTACCTGAAGTTTCCTGAGGCCGTGGAAACAGCCAAACAGCCAATGCCGGCAGGATGTTATTCCCTGACAGCACATTCAGAGAGAAACAAAGTGCAGGATATTCTTGTCCAAGCGAGCAGTTGCTTTCCTTCACCTGAGAGAGCTTTGAGGTGCTTCTTGGAGCCATTTTGCTAGTCCTGGCAGCAGGTAAGGCCACAAAAATGTAATTGACACTCAAGATGCATTTTGGCCCCTTTTATATAGACCTGTTTAAGATAAAACCTTGGGAGGGTTCTGGGGGGTTGTTTTCCAAACAAAAGCTTTTCTTCAAAATAAACAAACAAACCCAAAATTACTTGTTTTCAAAATGCAGAAATGCAATATTAGGGGCTGACTTCAGAATGGTCTTCTCCTTTCTATATCCATAATTTCTGTCAGTTATGGTCTGAGCTTAACACTCCACAATGTGATGTTTCTCAACTATGTTTGTCAGTTAATCCATTCCCAAAGCCCTCTCTGAGGGTCCCTTGTCAAAACTTGTAGCTCTTAAGTGAGTAGAGTACACCAAAGATATTTAGTCCAGGGCCAACGAAGAAGCCATTCAGTCAGAGCCAGTAGATGGCAATGG